ACTCATCAGCTTTAAAAAAAAAAAAAAAAAATCATAGTATCTTTCTGTAACTATTTACTTCCTTTCACCATTTTAGCTTTCAGCTCCATTAATTCTCAGTAAGGTATAATTCTTTTATTAGAACATGTTATAATTGTTCTAAAGTCTGACTCTAGTTCAGTTCAAAAGGGGAATATCTGAAGACTAGAGACAGTAAAAGGATATAACAAGATGATATATATGATCTAGTAAATAACTGTTTTGCAATTTCAAAAAAACATTACAATACTTTTTGAAGATAGTCTGTCTCCAGTTCTCAATAGGAAAGTTGGCCAAAGAATCTAAAAATTACATCTTTCATTTATATCTTACACAGATAGGGGAAATCAAATAAGTGATTTGCTTTCTAAAATATTTATTGGTATTGGTACTTCACACCCATTCAAAATTCCATGTTGCTTTATTAACGAATACATCCATATAATTACCATGTCTGTATCCATGGTAACCTAAACACCATTGTGCTAAGAATCATGACCTCTTTACACCCATGTATATATTCATGCCTAACCTCTATCAAAGAGACTATAATGCACTTAGAAGCCATATACTTCATACGTTAAATAGTTATCACCACAGCCATGATGAATATTTACCATGACTGTACAACTACAACTTGTATCCTGTCATACATTCAATCTGGTGTGCCAAGTATAATATATACTGTATAATATATATATATATATTTATGGTAATACACTGATATATTGAACACTGATATTCCAATATTATATGTAAACACAACACAAAATACTTCTTTTTTTAAAATACTAGTTAAAGACCTCAACTTCCTTATCATTCAATACACTCAAACAAAATTTACTTCAGATACTATAGGAACTGCTAAAAAACAAAAGGCAAAACTAATACTGTATGCTAGACATTACTACTTCAATGTAGCAGGTACACTAGAATCCGGTTGTGATTTTAAAAATCATAATAGATGTGAACACCCTCTCTCTTTACCACTACGGACATTAAGCAGTCAATATGTAAGAGAATGTAAGACAGATATTCTGTTCCAAATCTTATCCCTAACTTGTACAAACTTTTCAAATCAACTCTTTTTTTTCTTCTTAATGTGATGCAAACCATATATAAACCTAAACCATGGAACTAATCTAAGAATGCAATATCTCCAATCAACACCTCTCATGATTATTTTGTTTTTATTTGTTGGCTGGCTGGAGAATGTCAAGCACCTGATTAATGTCTCCTTCCTTAATCTCCAAGAGATTGGTCAACCAGCCTCCCTCGTTATTATATCCCATTGACTGCATCTGTTCAAGAGCACGCTGAATTGTAGGATCTGTAGGAAAAAATTGTGTTTAATACATTGAAGGAACATCTTCCCATCTCCTATGATTAATATGTTCAAAATACAAATACAATTTTGAGGTTTTAAATAGCCTTTTCTTTTAAAAAGGGAATAAAACACTTACTAGGATGTGGGGTAAGTTCAGTGAGGTTTGGATATTCAACTCTCCTATCACTTGGTGTGGAGGGTTGTGTAGCCTCCTGATTAACCAGAGTCCAGTCTTCTGTATCAGAAGCATTGTGCTCAGCCTCCATCTGTTCTCCAGCAGGACTGCTTACTTCCATCTCCTCAGCTCCTGCTGAGGTGCTCTTGCTTGTCTGGCTGGTGGGCTGGTCATCAGTCTGCACCTCAATATTAATGCTCTTTCCTGAGCCCACAGACCCAGCCTCTGAGCAGGGACCCTTTGATGGAACTTCAGGGGTAGATGCAGCCGATCCCTGGCGGGATGGGATGTCCTCACTGCCAAGGCTGCACCTCTGCCGGATGCCATTGTGCTCCACAGACACTTCAACATCAATACCTACAGAAGAAAGCGAGGTTCAATACTTATGATGAAATAAAATAGAAATGAAAAATCTAAATCCAGTAAAAAGTTTTTAAACCTTGATGTCAAGTACTTGCTTAATGAAGTTTACTTTTGTTAAACATTGGATTTTTTTTTTTTTACAGCACTGTCATACAATATCACTTATTTACTTTTATTCTAATCCTGTAAAATTTTAAAGAAAAAATGATTGTCATAGACTACCTTATTTTTTTTATAATTATGAGCAATCTTTAACAGATCATCAAATATTTACAAAATAAGTAAATAATAAATGCTAAGACAACAGCCTCCAAGAGAAAGAAGTGAAGTGAACATGTTGGAAAACAAGATAGAGTACAGATGAGCAAAGAGGAGAGAAGCAATGGGGAAGAAAGAAAAGTGGGAGAAGGATGAGTAGTATAGACAAAGAAAGAAGGAAAGAGGAAAATGGAGAGAGGGAGATGAAGAGGGAGGGGGTGGGGGTGGGAGAGGGAGAGGGAGAGGGGGAGGAGGAGGGGGAGGGAGAGGGAGAGGGAGAGGGAGAGGGAGAGGGAGAGGGAGAGAAGGAGAGGGAGAGGGAGAGGGAGAGGGAGAGGGAGAGAGAGAGAGAGAGAGAGAGAGAAACAAAGCAATACAAATTGGTTCTAACTCTAAAAACTACCAAACATACCAAGGGGATCCAAGATGGTGGCAACTGTCTCTCCCACACTCTTCAGATAATCTTCCCCTGGCGCCTTGCTTCCCTGGGTGTCATTCTTATCCTCAGCTTTTTTCTCCTTGTCTCCACTTGCACTGGCAGAAGATGATGAAGAGGAGGAAGAGGACGATGAGGAGGAGAAAGTGTGTGTCTGTGGGCCGTTAATCGGGTTGTTCTGGCCCCCAGTCCAAGCTGTCCAAATGCCACGCATCACATTGGCGACGTGTTCAGAGGCCATCTGAGAAGCAAAGCGGTGTGCTTGCTGGGCAACCTCCTCAGCCATCTGTTGTGCCTCCTCAGCAACCTGTTGTGGGTTTGGGCCATCATGCTCTATGTCCATGAAGGGGCATGGGCCAGGGGCTGTGCTTGTCCAGGGACACTCCTTCTCTTTGTTGTTGCTGTCCCCATTCTGCTCCTGTGACTTTTGCTGTTGACTCTGACTTTGCTGTTGACTGTGGCTCTGACTCTCTCCTTGCTGCTGGCTCTGCTGCTGTCCACAGTTGGTCTGGCTCTGACTTTGGCTGCAGCCCCAGTGATTGCCATCCTTGCCCCCCCACCAGCTCCAGAAGCCCCGTCCTCGCCCGCCACAGCCCCTTCTGAACCTGCGGCTGCCATGCCCGCCGTGGCCGCCGTGGCCACCATGGCCACCATGGCCTCCTGCACCTCCCCATCCTCCGCTGAAGCTAGCAGAGGCTCCGGCCATCCCTGGACCTCCTGATGAAGCAGATGTGGAGGTGAAGCCTGGCCCATTGTCAGCTTCAGTGTGCATGCCGAAGTGGGTGGAGAAGTGGCCAGGAGGACCATGGTGCTCCTTCCACCAGAACTTTGGTGCGCCCTGTTGGTCAAGGAAGAATGGTCAAGAGACATCCCTTAGTGGCTAAGCAGTGTTATGATACATAAATGAATTTTGCTATACCAATATCGTCAAACATATGAAGGCCTGTAGGAACTCTCTGCCAACAAACAAAATAAAATAAATTTAAAAAACACATCCAAAATACAAACCTTTGATTCGGGCTTTGGCATGCGCATCATACGGTGTTCAGAGTGCTTGCCCTTGAACTCACAGGCAGCGCAGAGGTCAAAGTCCCTACAGCTGACACAACGATAGCGGAAACCACGGACAGATCCCTCACAACCATCACAAACAACTCCTTCGTGCACTGCTCCCTGTTGGCTTCCTGTAATACCAATGGTTAGATGGTCTAAACAGGGGTTACATGACTAAGCATGGGGTTGAATAAATTGTATTAAAAGAATGATCTGTAAAGGCCTGTTCCTCCTTCTACCCACCTGGGAGGGAATTGTTGAGCCCGAGGTCTGGCCGTGTCCCCACTGTTACGGACACCTTGAAGAGTTGCAGCTTCTGTTTGCTGAGGGAATCTGCAATGGCCTCCACCAGCTCCTCGTCAGACGAGATCACAATCAAATCTCCCTCAGAATCTGGAATGAATTACTGCAATGTTTATTCTGCTTTATGATATAAATTAAGAGCCTTAACAAAGTGAAATAGTGTCAAGATAAAGAAGAAAACAATAGGGAATGAATGTGGGTCTTGCCCACAGTCCTGCTATACTTTAAAAACTTAAATTTAGATTACTATTTCATCTAGGAGAAAAAAGAAAAAAGAAAAAAAGAAAAGAAAAGAAAAAGAAAGAAAGAAAAATAAAAAAGAAGTCCTTAACTTCATAATCTTTTTCATGAAAAACATATAGAGGTACTATATTACATATCAGATTCTTTCTTTAAAATCATATCACAACAACATGAACACTTTGTATAAATACAATGAAGTATTGTATAAATCAAAGAGAGAGAGAGTTTCAAATGATTTGGTAATAAGAGAGAATGTTCAAACGACTTTGTATGCCTAAATATATATATATATATATATATATATATATATATATATATATAGAGAGAGAGAGAGAGAGAGAGAGAGAGAGAGAGAGAGAGAGAGAGAGAGAGAGAGAGAGAGAGAGAGAGAGAGAGAGTGAGAGAGTGAGAGAGTGAGAGAGTGAGAGAGTGAGAGAGTGAGAGAGTGAGAGAGTGAGAGAGTGAGAGAGTGAGAGAGAGTGAGAGTGAGAGTGAGAGTGAGAGTGAGAGAGAGAGAGAGAGAGAGTGAGAGAGAGAGTGAGAGAGAGAGTGAGAGAGAGAGAGAGAGAGAGTGAGAGAGAGAGTGAGAGAGAGTGAGAGAGAGAGTGAGAGAGAGTGAGAGAGAGTGAGAGAGAGAGTGAGAGAGAGAGTGAGAGAGAGAGTGAGAGAGAGAGTGAGAGAGAGAGTGAGAGAGAGAGTGAGAGAGAGTGAGAGAGAGTGAGAGAGAGAGTGAGAGAGAGATAGATAGAGATAATGTTTCAATAAATACTACTAATAACAAATCAATAAATAAGCACTTTTATAAGAATAAAATGAAACTCTAATATAATTGAAGGAAAACAATAGGAAAAGGATAATTTTAAAACTGGTTATAATAATGTTGGTAATTGTAGCAGTTATTACCTCGCGTCAGAAAAAGTTGCTTAAGTTTCCAATGGTTTAAGCACTGAGAACTGAGAGAATTTTTTACTTTTTTCTTCTTTTTGGGGGGTGGGGGGATGAAGTTTTATGTCATGTAACTCCAACGAACTTTAAATAAGCAATGAAGACACTCAGATACATAATTTACAATGAATTTCCTTTCTTTTATACATTAGTAATATCTGATCAATCTTTTCATACCTCCATATGAAAAATTCACCTCAAAAGCATCTTATTGTTATTAACTTATCTTGATATTCATAACATTAGTAAAAAAAAAAAAAAAGGAAAGGAAAGGAAAGGAAAGGTGACATCACATAAGGCCACAAGGGCTACTAATTGACTCCTTTGTGGCTAAGCACCAGCAGAGCCATCTATGTGCATAGACACTTCACAAAAAAATTCTAAAAAGGGAACAGCATTTTCCTGACAGCATTGAGGGTAATCCAGAAAACAGCTGTGGTTTTATAATTAAATCTATTTTGTCTGAGTCCAACGTATCATCTTCAAAAACAATAAAAGAAAATTTTCCTTTGGCATTAATGGCCAAATTTAACGCAAAATCTACAATCTATACATCATTCCAAATGCTATTGTATTTCTATACTGAGTATACACAACATAAATCATTTATCACATTATAATCCCTACAAGAAAAAGAAAAAAGAGAGAAAAGAAGAAAGAAAAAAAAAAGTCAATTAGCAAATAACAAGAGCTCACTCACCTTTCCATGAGAGAGTGATGTCCTGCTGTCCGAGCCCAAAAACTGAACACACTTTCTCCTTCAGGCAAGAAAAGTTCGTGGCAATGCCCTCTGCCAGGCCAAAGCGACGGACCTCTTGCCGGCCCCCTCCTACATCCAGGTAGGCCTTGACACTCATGCTTCTGTCGTCTGACATCTTGTTTCTTTAGACCCCTGCAAATGAAAATAAGTATTAATCACATTGATATGTATATACATCCATACATACATTATATATATATATATATATATATATATATATATATATATATATATATATATATATATATATATATATATATATATATATATATATACACATTTTTTTTTCCCCCAAGAGGGAAATCATTACATTTCTCTCACTATTCGTAATGAGAAAAGATAGGAGGATAACTGCAACACAGTGAATAACAAATTCAGACAAAGTGTCACATCAGTTTTAGCTAGCCATGAACAGGTTAAACACAATGAACAATAGATAGCTTGTCTTTCCTTGAAATGAAAATAAGATGAGAAAAGTAACTAGAATAAGATGAGTTAGACATGTAACTATCTCATCCAGACACACAATATCTGGGAAAGCTCACCTAAAGCAAATACTATCCTGACAATGGAAGCCCTGCTCAAGAGTAAATGTTTTCTTAGATTTTACTTTGACTCTCCATCTTCTCCTTCCTCCAATAGCTTAATTCTTTACCATATGAACACACTAGCCAGAGTCCCCAGCCCCATATCACAAAATCAAATCAGCAATCTAAGTTACCCAGACTGGGTGTGCCCTTATCAACCTTCCCGAGGGAAAGGTTGACAGGGGGCTCTAAGAAACACTGTCTTCCCCCCTGTATGCATAGCAAGATAAAACTGAATCCTGGGAGAACCAAGAGGACTTAGGATGTCAGCTGTGTTGTCCATGAACTTTTTTCTTTATTTGTGGCATTACTGTTCATGTCTGCTGATTATTCCTTGTACTGACAACTGCAATTTTTTGTCCTCTACAAATATATAGTCTTCAATTTGTAATCAAAAACTTGCTTTACTGCTATTACTTGTTTCATTACTATTTCTAATATTATGTTATTATTATCATTATCATTCTCCATGAGGTAAAAAATAAAATAAAATCACAATTATAAAACTGAAAATCAAAATAAAATGAAAACATAAATAAAAATACACAGCGTACCCAAAACAAGTTATAGCCTTATCTGACTTTGGAATTAGATTCTTCACCCTTTTGGCTAGTTTTAGGCATGCTATATGAAGAACTTGTGACCTAAACCATGAGCATTCTTCACTTTACGTCATTCTGGGTTTTTTTCCACAAACAATGACAATCTATAATCTATGATCGTTTCAGAAGTTTGTTAAATAGTATTATCCACTAATAACACCATAAGAATGACTTTGATGCCAACCTAGATGCTGTAAAGTAACTAAATCAAAATGGTAGGTAGCCAAAGGTAGCTCAGGAATCAGGGATTAGCCTAGTATAGCAGAAACTGGTCTTCACAGGACACAGCCAAATCCCACCGTCAAGCCGCTATCACTGAGGGGAGGGAGAACGTGAGTCACAAGGACATGACAAGAGCAAAGGAGGTTAAGGAGAAGATACAGTGGTGCATTAATGAGGTAGCATGAAGCAATCACAAGTTCTTCTAGTGCATCACCTTGCCAAAAATATTCTGTACAGGATCTATACTTGTAAAGACATTGCTATTCATTTATTTTGGTTTGAAGTTTGTCTCCCACAACAATCAATTCATAAGTTAAGCATGTAGAAATAGAGATTGGGATATTTTTAGTACAATACTACTACAATACTGTCCAATACTAATGAGATGCAAATTCGTATGACAGAGCACAAATGCCTGATTGATCTACTTTTCATTCAAGCCTTGTACACTACCAAACAAAACTTTTGCGGCTATAATGGTAAGTCTGACTGCTGTTTGTTGACATCAATGGACAAAATTTTCTTCCCAAACTGCTACAGGAATGTTCATTTATGCTAACTATATACTAGTGTTTGGTCATACCTTTTTATCACATCTTGTGACTAGAAATAAAATAAGCATATAATGGAAGTTGTAGTAGGGATCCTTATAAAAATGATTATGGTGATTTAAAGGATTGTATATTCATATCTCAATTTGAAATAATAAATAAACTACTGAACCTGACTTGTTCTCATTTCATTCTCTAATTACATTATCATTCAATGTGAAGAAAGACTTAAACAATAGATAACAAACTCTCAAAACAAAAGTAAAATTAATAATTTTTCCAGAGTAAATAAACAATTGTATTGGAAAAGAGTACTTTATGTAGCAGATAACTTTAATTCTTAAAAATAAATACATAAATAAATAAAATAAAATAAACAAAATAAATAAATAAATAAATTAATAAATTAATTAATAATAATAATAATAATAATAATAATAATAATAATAATAATAATAATAATAATAATAATAATAATAATAATAATAATAATAATAATAATAAAATAAAATAAAACAGTGACAACAGTCTATCTCACTCAACTTTAAAAAAAAATGCTAGACAAGACTGGACTGAAAATTTAGTAAACACTGAACCTAGAACTTCTATACATTTATGCAGTGACAACCCCTTCAATTAGAAAATTCACAGTCAATTTTCCAAAACCACATGCAGAAACTATCTTATGAGATGACAATTAAGAGAGATATAAGTTAATCCTAATATATGTGTGTGTGTGTGTGTGTGTGTGTGTGCGTGTGCGTGTGCGTGTGCGTGTGCGTGTGCGTGTGCGTGTGCGTGCGCGTGCGCGTGCGCGTGCGTGTGTGTGTGTGTGTGCGTGTGCGTGTGCGTGTGCGTGTGCGTGTGCGTGTGCGTGTGTGTGTGTGTGTGTGTGTGTGTGTGTGTGTGCGTGTGCGTGTGTGTGCGTGTGTGTGTGCGTGTGTGTGTGCGTGTGTGTTTCAAGTTTAAATCAATTCTAATATTTGGCTTTCAGAAAATTCTCACACAAGTATAACAGAGAATAGTGATGTATCGTCTGAATTTACAATTTAGACACAGATGAACTAACAGACTGATGGGAGGGTGACAGGCTAGTGATCATCAATACTTGGCAGGTAGATGAATACAAAGACATGTATTTAAGTTCATGGTTATTTGATAATTAACAAGATTCTGATGAAAATGTGATAGCTGACATATTGGTGATAATAATCATCTAATAAAATTCATGAAGGTGACAATTCTTTTAATTCACACTTTACCATGAAGTAAACCACTACCAACTTAATACATGTATCCTTGCACTGAAAAACAATGTTAATCAATATTTCAAGTGAATCCTGGATGTATGTTAGACACAAATCCTTATCCTAGCCTCACTCCACAAAAAACTCCTAATCTGGCAGATTTCCAATGGAACACGATTTCTCAGCCAATATTAATCAAGTGTTTTAGAAAGATGAATTCTTATATAGGATATTTCTAAAGATCGTTTGTCAGAACCAGACATCTTTAAATAAATATAATATTCATTTAAAGATCGTCTGGTTCTGACGAATGATCTTTAGAAATATCCTATATAAGAATTCATGCTTCTAAAACACTCGATTTTTCCAGAACATTCCGAATGCGAGTTTTTAACGAGTCCCTTGTGTCATGAACGAATATATTTTTCTCGAAGTCATGAACTTCATGCATGACGTAGGCCAAAAAAAAAAAAAATCAATACACCATAAACACTCCATATAAATCCCATAACACGATAATAAACACACTCCACAATGACTTCAAACGGGAATTCTTTCAACCCACCTCCTAGAAATCAACTAGAAATCAGAAATTCGCCTCCAGAACGAAAGCAGAAATCGCGACCTTTTCCTTTGTTATTGAAGAACAGCTGCTGCGACCAAAACACTCGTCTCTTTTTCCTCCTTTCCTCTTAAAATATCCACTCAACACTGATGACAACCCGCCTCGCACCGTCTCCTATATACTCACAGATGACTGGGTGGAAATTGAGGACTAGTGGCGGGCGTTCCAGTCGGTTCTGGAAGGAATAAATGAATGACGAAACGAGGAGTCGCGGTGATGGCTGCTGCTGCTCTGCCCTTCCGCGTCTGATGCGTCATTGGCCCAAGTCACAGTCACGCGTCCGGA